GGTCCTGGTCCTGGTCCTGGTCCTGGTCCTGGTCCTGGTCCTGGTCCAGGTCAGATGAACTGGTTCCTTCTGGTCAAACTGAATGGTTTGTCACAGTTTTAAATAAAACGTTTGGGTCTGATGTGGAGAAACAAGTGGCAAAGCTTTTCGTTATCACAAATTAAATGTTTTTGTTTATGAGTGGCTGACAAAGATGAAATGTTTTGTTCCTAAAAGATGAAACAGGTCTTTGAGAGCCGTGCAGACTCAGAACCCAGCTGGGTCTCATGGTTTGGTTTGTGTTCAGTCAGTGACTCTTTCTTCTTGTCTTTGTGTAAAAGCTGCCAGGACACCTGTCAGGTACCATCCTTCTGTCTCTCCTGTCTTAGTTTCATGCAGCTGCTGCAGCAGGAAGCTCTGCAGAGCATGACTTTCTATCAGTGCAGATGTTTTCATGTAACTCTCAGATATGTTATCTGTAAACCCTGCTGACTGAAGCAGAGGATTCTTCAGCTTCCTGTCAGACTGTAGAGCTCATCAACCCCTCTCTGCAGTGGTGGTGACCCTGGAGCCTCTGGTCGGAGCTGAAACCTACGTCAACGGGAAGCAGATCACTGACGCTGTCGTCCTGAAACAAGGTGCGACCCTCAGAGGGGATTCAAACCAGCAACTGTGACTTCACCCTGTTTGAACTTGTGCCTTCAGCTCAGTCTGTCCATCCCTGTTGCCAGGCAACCGCATCGTGATGGGGAAGAACCACGTGTTCCGCTTCAACCACCCGGAGCAGGCCCGGCTGGAGAGGGAGCGCAGCGCCACGGCCGAGCAGCAGGAGGAGCCAGAGGACTGGAACTACGCCCAGAAGGAGCTGCTGGAGAAGCAAGGCATCGACATCAAGCTGGAGATGGAGAAAAGGTCTGAGAGAACCTCCCCTGATACTTCCTGTTTCCTGTTTTATTTATCCTTTCCTCTGATACTTCCTGCTTCCTGTTTTATTTATACTTTCCTCTGATACTTCCAGTTTCCTGTTTTATTTATACTTTCCTCTGATACTTCCTGTTTCCTGTTTTATTTATACTTTCCTCTGATACTTCCTGTTTCTATTTATATTTCCTCTGATACTTCCTGTTTCCTCTTTTATTTAGTATACTTTCCTCTGATACTTCCTGTTTCCTATTTTTATTTATCCTTTCCTCTGACACTTCCTGTTTCCTGTTTTATTTATACTTTCCTCTGATACTTCCTGTTTCCTCTTTTATTTATACTTTGCTCTGATACTTCCTGCTTCCTATTTTTATTCATCCTTTCCTCTGACACTTCCTGTTTCCTGTTTTATTTATACTTTCCTCTGATACTTCCTGTTTCCTGTTTCTATTTATCCTTTCCTCTGATACTTCTGGTCTCCTGTTTTTATTTATCCTTTCATCTGATACTTCCTGTTTCCTGTTTCTATTTATC